AAGGAAGGAAGGAAGGAAGGAAGGAAGGAAGGAAGGAAGGAAGGAAGGAAGGAAGGAAGGAAGGAAGGAAGGAAGGAAGGAAGGAAGGAAGGAAGGAAAGAAGGAAGGAAGGAAGGAAGGAAGGAATAATTGAGAGCAGAAAATTGATCTGCACTTGTCTACACCATTCTGCCTTATTAAAAAAACACCACTATTCTAAATAACATTTTACTATTCTCGATCATGCCTGGCAGCACCACTACTGCAGCATTCTAGAATCTTATAGAATTTCTTTGAGATAAGGACTGAGATCAGCAGAAAGGAATGATGCCAATGAATTTAGCATTCCCCAGAAGATGCCTCAGAGACATGTCAAGATCTCTCATCTCTTCAAGATTATTGACTCAACAGCAGTGACCGAGTAGCAAGTCATCTGGGAAGAAACAGCAAGGCTCAGGATGTCACTGCATAGCCTAGGCATGTGAGGGACATGAGCGCATAACCAAATTTCAAGTAGAGGAAAACCGATCTAGTAGATCCATTAGAGGAAACCAGTGCAGCTTCAAAAGTTTTCAAAATATCTAAGCTGAAATGTCCAATAACAAACACTGTAGTCTGATTTCCTCTGGGTTGAAGGTCAACTTTATACAATTACGGAAAAAAACCCCACTATCCAAAATACTAGAAAACAGTAGCATTTGGCACAACTAAACTCTCCCAAGTTAAATAATGTATTTTAAAAATCAGCACAAATGTTGAAGAGAAGCTAGCAAATTTACTAATACCACAATGCGACTTGGAAAACAATTTAAGAATTTAGCAGTATCAGCTCCACAGACCTTTCTGTCTGTGCATGCTACAAAAATAACAACTGTTTTTGCAGAGCAAATAGTCATCAACTGTTTTCTCCCTTGTAACTGCAACTGTTTTTGATTTATTTTGACAAGGAGAATAACTGAAATACTCCGTGCTTTATTACATGACTGAAATAACAGTTAATCAACCCCTCCAAAAAAGGTAATGAAAAATCAACTGTGCAATACTGTGCACTAGGAGTTGTTTGCATTTTAATTATTCTCTTTTGTGAAGGGAGCTAGTTACATCATATTGGAAAATGAATCCTTGCTTATTCAGCTTTTAAAATCAGCATAGCCTCAACTTCAAATTAATAGTTAAAACCAAACAGCATTGCCTCCCTTAAATCAGTTAAACATTATTTGTAGGCATAAACTTGACGGAAGCCGAGAAAATGGAGCATTCATTGCTGAGGGGCAACAGATGCCACAGCGAAGTCATGTTCTGAGAAATGTTGCTGGGCTCCGATTAGCAAAGAGACTTTTGCACGCAGCGGGAGCCAGGCTGCACGGCTGTGCTCTAGCTATGCTGGGAATGGCATGAGCCATCCAAGGAGCCTTTTGGAGGCATAGCCCATCCTCCGTACCCAGGACATTGAGCCTCAGGGCAATGCGGATGGATCTGATCAGCCCTGCTGGCAACACGAGACATAACTGGGTAGTCCTTGGGCAGGGAGCAAGCTCGAGGGAATGCCAATGCTCCTTCCAATCCTACTTCTATGGCCCTTTTATTGAAGGCAATAGGAACCTCCCTCATAGTTCAGTCATTTTTTCAGGATTCCCTGATGCTGCAGAAAGGTAAGGCCACCTGATATATCTCCTGATGCTTTTTCTGATGCTCTGCTACTAAAATGTGCTAGCAGGGTGGGACAGTCTCTGGTCACCTAACTATTTTTGTTGGCATTAAATAAAACTTGTTTTTTTTTTTTTTTTTAAACTGTGTAAGATAATGAAGGTAACATTTTCACAAAGGAGTACTGGGATGAATCATTAGGCTTTTTCTTTCTGTTAGGACAAATATTTTAGCCTTCTGTCTAAAAGAAGGATGATCTGATACTCCTTGAGCAAACTAGTTGCAAAGCTGCCCTTGGTCCTAAATAGTACATGTCATTTTTGACTATGCTCCCATCTCTTGAACTTGCTTAATTGTGGTCTGCAAGTCAAAGTAAATTTTGCAAAGCTTGCTGATCTTGCAGTTTATGAGGACAGCTTGCATTTATACAACATGCTTCACTTATTCAGATTATCTGAAATATCATCCAGAAATATTTACAAGAGACAGTTATAAAAAACAGCCCCAAGGTAGGTAAAGCACTTCTGATTAACTGTATAACCTTCTTCCAGATGTGATTGGATAAGAAGGTGGCTGCTATGGAATGGGTCTAATGCTCAGTGTAATCTTTGTGGAAAGTAAAGTGAAATTATTACTAAGCAGCAAAGGCAATGTGACCACACCGGAGTGTGTCTACGTGAATATATTTGTAAGCACAATCAGATGCTTATAGAGGCATTTTCATTTACAGATTTACTGTAGTTATATATCTGTCCATAATACTTGTTTTAAAATAATCAAACAAATTATTTAAATTAGTTGACATAATTAAAGAGTACATTAAAATCTCTCTAAGTAACCTACAAGAGGTCTCAAAGCTGTTAGGAGCTAATCAGTAATGTTAATCCTATGCCCTTGCAGTGTGGCACATTTGGCTTTTATTGTTCTTTTTTTCTAAATTTACCACTTCCTCTCCTCTTTTGAGAGGATCCTTCTTGTAATAGGAGCTCTACAGCTATACACTCTGCATTATATCCTGCAAGCTGGGCATGTCCTGCTGTCATCTCCATCAGTGCTATTACCTAGCTCCTTGAACAGGACAACAGGATTCAGGAAATGTGATGTTCTTCTCTGCTCTGCCACAAATTTGCCAAACAAGCCTGGAAAGGCGCTTTCCCTGACTGTTTCTCCAGTAGTGAGAGAACGTATTTCTCCATACATCTTTAGCCTCCAGGGGAGAGGCCTGGTTTAAGTAAGTGCCAAATATCATCAACATAACTCAAGCAGTGCTAGCAATACTGAGGCTGGTAAGAAACAGTGCATATTGATATTTATTTTTTAAAGTTTATCTATTACCTTTCTAGCCTTTGCATGGTCATGGCTAGAGTTTTGTTCAGTTCCTCTATCATCCGGCACCCTGAAGGGTGGATGGGTAACGTGCTGGACCCAGAAGGCAGGTGCTGGCTGTGGCTGCCGTACTGGAGCTGGTGCTGGTGAGCTGCTAACTGGGATGGCAGGACAGTGTGATGGTGCTGAGTCAAAGGCTGCTGGGAGCTCTTCTGCGTGGAATAGGTTGAGAGAGAGAGGTCTGGCCCCCCTAAAGGCATGCAAATCATGACTTTCTTTGGAGGTAGTGGAGGTGACAGTTTAACTGGCATACAAGGCAGTTTCACAGGAGCGCCAGGATCTACAACAGAAGAAAGAGAGGTCCTGGTGTTAATTTTTATGGCAGTGAGATGAGTATCACAGTGTCTGTCTGGGTGAGCAGGTACTGAGCTTGCTAGTCTACAGAAAGGAAGAGTGTGCACTGGATTTATGCTTTTCTTGGTGTGATGAACCCTTCTACATAGCTGGCATCAGCACTGTATTCAAAAAGAGCTGTTGTTTTGCAACACTTCTGAGCCTCACAAAAATATCCCAGGGCTGTGCATGCCCCTTAATAAACACATTAAGCAATGCTTAACGAGGCTGGTGTCACACTTCAAAGCTTTAAAGCCTTAATTTCCCAAAACTGCCCTGTGAGGTAAGCGCGATGACTCTCGCTCGACAGGCATGTAAGCCCAGGGAGAGCCGTTCGGCATCTAAAGTTACAGAATGACTCACCACCATCACCGGCGGAATAGAAACGCAGAGATTCCTGATGTTTCTAAGCTACTGCAGTGCAATTACTATGTGCCATGTTTCTTACAGCTTCTTAATGTGCAAAACATTTGGTGCTAAATTTACATTACAGGGAAAGTGAGAAAAGATACACCATTTGAATAATGAACAGCAGCAGTCTGGAAAAATGATGAGTACAGGAGGAAAAAATGATAAAGGGTTCCTACCCTTTGTTAAGTTTAATGTATTCTTTTACAGAAGACTTATCGGGCACTTTTTTTTTTCTGAACTCAGGCACTGAATGTTAACCTTTTTCACTTTAGGCTTGTTCTTGAATCACATCTTGAATCCTGTCAGGCAAAGACTCCTCTGACTCCCACAGGTCCACAAGGAAATGTGAAAATGGCAGCCCAGGTACTGCCAGGGCTCAATGGTTGGCAATTTTTGGAGTTACACATGATTTATCAGGTATGGTGTTGAAGGGTTTATGGTTGAACTCAGTGATCTTAAAGGTCTTTTCCAAATATGATCACTATTATTCTACAGTTCTATGATTTCAGAAGGGAGCAGAAGTAGTGGGAAGACTTGAAGTTCCCAAGATGAGGGTGATTGTGGGGAATAGTCTGTATGCATGCTAGAAGCAAAGAAAATGAGAGGAAATATATATCATCCTGCTAGAATAAGCCCTTTCCAGGCTGGAATACAGAGCTTCATTTGGCTCTGTATGCCCAGCTTCGTGGGCAGAGCTCATGAACGTTTTGTCCCCTTGTTACTTCAGTTCACACTTCTTGCTGCAACACAGTAAATAAAATGAGGGCCAGAAGCTTCCTTTGAACTGAGGAAAGTTTTGCAGGTAGATGTTGCTATCCAAGCTTCAAAGCTCACCACTCTTCTGAGCTGCATCAGATTTTAAAGCTCTTTTCCATATGTTTTTTTGTTAGCATTTAACTATCTCTTGCCCCCAGTAGTTATTCTTCCCTTCTGGTCTCTTCTGGCTATCAATCACATGAACTAGCATCCATATCTCCTTGTCATGGCAAAGAAGGTTGATATTAGGGTTTCCAAGTGCTAACACTTCTTGAAAATCATGGAAAAGATGGAAAAAGGCCAGAAATAGGGCCAAGATCAGGTTTGACACTGATTTTTTTTTTCAATACAGGTCACAGCTTCATTTCATCCACAGCATGCACTTGGTGCCAACGTTTCTGGCACACTAGAAATATTTTCATTTGCTTTAGCTGTGTGTGTTTTCTTCTTGTATCCTGCACAAAGGATCATACCACTTTCAGTAAAAGGTAAATGAAACACACAGTAAAGAGTAAATTGTACAGAACCCAGAGAATAAACCTCCTATGGGATTTGTCGTAACAAAATGTATTCATACACTTGGGCTACAGGAAATCTTCTAGAGCTGGCTCTGATCTACAAGATTAGGTTGAGATGGTCTGCACTTCTCCGTTTTGAAATGTGCAGATTTGTCTGTGTTGGTTTTGGATCCTTTAATGATATATTTCAATCAGTACTAGCATCTCACAGTGCTGGTGTCTTGACATCCTTCCATTTTTGTGTCTGATGTAGGGGAGTCATCCTTCAGACCTGACTGTAGGGTATCTCTTGCTTCTAAGAATAACATGAATTATGAGGTGGGCTTGCCATCTTCTGTGATTCTGAAGATTAGAACATATTTAGTGTTTGCAGTGAGTGTAACAAGTCAAATGATTGTAGCATAGAGGAAACAGGAGTAATTCTGTCTTTCTTCTAACTAGGATGAAAATTTTCTTTTCCTTTGTGGTGCAATCATTCACCAGCTAGCATTGTGTCACTGGCAGTGCGGCTTTGGAGTAGCACAGGGAAAAAAGTCTATCTTAATTATTATCACAGAAATACGTACTGAGCAATCACATACTTTTTTATGAATTTGATGAGCAGTCTGGTTTCTACTGCTCACCCTAAATGTATGGGGCTGTAGTTTCTTATTAAAATTGAACACATCTTTCACATCCTATTGTTTGCGCTGGTGTCAGTGCTGGGGTGACTCTATCAGACACCTGTTAAAAATCCTGTCTGCTATTTTTAGTGTAAGGCTTCATTCAGACAACACTCTCTTTCACCCGGGCTCTTGAACCTCTCTGAATACAGCCCCTCATGTCTGATAGAGCCTTGAAAAGGAAACAAAGGTGTTAAATTTACTTGTCTGTGCTCCACCTTCATGTGAATTCTACTTGTCTGATTAAAAAAAAAAAGACTAAAAGGAGAGTGAGCGCAATAGCAGGAGAGTTTGATCCATTCACTTGAAAGTGTACCAGTACATCTTCAACAACTTCAGTAATGGAGACAACAAGCCTGGTATTGCAAGTTCTACTGAGCTGTCAGATCAGTGGGTATTCTGAGTGAACGGAGCCTTGCTCAGATCCATGGGCTCCAGTCACGCTGTTGGAAACTGCATTATCATCATAATACAGTAAATGTGAGAACAAATTGACCCCTGTGTGTAAGAGTGTGAGATAACTGCATTTTACAGTTTTGTGTGTTTGTTTTTGATTCATAATGTATGTGATGTATGGACTGTGGGTCAAAACATTTATTGTCACCAGACTGGAATATCCACCAGACATAGACATCTGTAGATGAATAGGAAGCTGGATGAAGGAAAGATAAACAAGGAATCAGTGATAGGTATTGTCTCAGCGGAATATTAGCACAGTCTTAAATCACTGCACAAAGCACTGATATGAAAGAGAAGCAAGCTGTGTGAAGCCAGGTGTGCTAGTCTAATTAATCTCTTTTGGATGAGGTTCCTCATGCTCAAGAGAATAACATGAAATCTTGCGAGATATTGGTTCCTAACAGCTTGTGACCATTCAGTAGTGTGCATATTTAAGTCTAATTTTGCCAAAATCAATAAATGAGATGTTAGACAAAGAATCCTTCCTGCTGTTGATGACAATAAATTACTTAAAAGATAAGTCACAGGCACTAAAAGATTTGCTGCACATCAGATATTTGACCAGCAGGTTAGTTCTTATGTCTTCACTACAATTTGTTTTGCCATGTCTAGGGTTGCTATATATCCTTTTTGGTTTTTGGGATACAAAAGTACTTTCAGTCACTGCACAGAAAGCCTGACTATACATAGTATTTCTGAAGTGTTTGTGTTACACGGGAGCTACAGACTGTACACCAAATCTGCCACTTGCCACCGTGTGGCTGGAGAGCTGGTCAGAACATATTGAAGATGGAGTACTAGGAAGTTCTGGATGTACAGAGGTAAATACCGCTCCAGAAGCGCTCCTAGAAATGCTCATTAAAGTCCGCAAACCCTGCTCTAGCACAATTACAGCATGGAGGAAGGGGGCATGCCTGGGAATCCTGAGCTGCTGGCAGAGCTGGCTAATATTACTATGCTGCCACCAGGAGAAATATTTTTTTGACTCCTTATGATGACAGATTTGAGTCAACAGTGTGCTCTAGGAAGGAATTATCTCCTCTTATGTAGACCACATTTGAATACTGTGGCCAGTTTTGGCCCTCCCAGTACAGGAAAGATGTTGATTACCTGGCGCAAGTTCAGTAGAGGTCCCCCCAAGATGACTGGGGCTGGAACACTTGCCATGTGATGAGAGGCTGAGGGAGCTGGACTTGCCCAGCCCAGAGAAGTGACTGTTTAGGGGGACCTAACAGCAACCGCTAGCACCTATGAGGAGCTTAACAAGAAGATGACAGGACCAGGCTCTTCACAGAGATGCATGGTGGCAGGATGAGGGGTGAAGGGCAGAATTTGAAATTAAAGGTTCAGCCTGGGTCTAAGGAAACCCCTTTTCCCCATGGCAACATCCAAACATGGAAGAGGTTGTTCACAGAGGCTGTGCAGTCTCTACCTTGAAGGTTTTCAAGACCTGAGTGGATAAAGCTCTCAGCAACCGAGTCTGGCCCATAGTTGGTCCTGCCTTGAGCAGGAGGTTGGATTAGGGACCTCCTGAAATCCCTTCCCACCTGAAATGCCTTATGATCCTATGACCTTTGATGTAGTATATGCAACATCAGGCATTACAACCTGTCATAATTGTATTCAGTTTCTCTTTAAATCACACTGCAGGAATTCTGCAGAGTTCTGCATTAGGTAACACTACAGTCTACATGTGCAGTGTGTGCCTGTTGCATGGGACACAGTGGAAATGAGGTGATGTGACTGATGTTCACTGTGAAATTTTGGACAAATAACTTCCACCTTTTCAGTTCTTCATCCTGGAAATCACTTGTGACTGAGCAGAGTCTCTTCTCTTATTTTATTTGGACTTCAAAGCAGATTTATGAAGACATTACAACTGTGTTCTTAGAGATTTGCAAAGCATCTCCCATTGGCTGCAGGCGTGCCTTCAGAGAGGATTTCAGTGGAGACTGAAATCTTTTGTTGTTCTCCTGAACCATGCGTGTATCCAAGGTTGAGGTTGAGTTTACAGAACATAGGCAAAGCACGTTTAGTTTTGAAAAGTAAGGCTCTGAGCGAACTCCCTTTATAGCCTTGAAGTGGACTTCAAAGATTAGAAAATTTCCTGCTATCTCTGCATGCTAGGTACTCTTCTCCAGTGCTGAGGAAGAGGATCTGCTTTTGCCCTACTGCCTCTCCTGGAAGTCCACAGTGTAAAGATAATTTTTCCCCATGTGAATGTAACTTGTCTTCATGAGTGTGGTGTGTCAGCAGAAAGCAGGAGATAAGATAATGCAGTAGGAAACTTAGAGATAACATCACAGGCTCATCTACAAAAGAGCCATCTGAGATGCATGTGATTGCTGAGTTTTAAAAGACTACAGAGAATATTTATTGGACAAATTGTAGCTGTAACTACTTTTGTGATGTTGTAACTAACCATCAGTTCTGCTGTGACAATGCAGTATGATGACAGGCACCCCTGTTCTCAAGTCTCATCCTTGGTATATCCACATTATCAGAAATTACTTTTAGGGAATTGCAACATTTCCTACCATGTTAAATGCTCACTTTTAATTATGAACTAGTTCTCACTGTACAGCAACACAACTAGAAGGTGTAATCTCAGATCCAAAAATGTACCCTGCTTCTTCTCAGAATGTTGACTGAATGGCAAATTTCTAATTTATTCCAGAAAACATCATTGGCATTGGTAAGAAGTATCAGCTCATTTAGTCACAACCAAAAGGAGCTTAATATTACTGAGGGCCATTGACTATTAAATCAGAATTGCCTATTCTTCTTGTCACTTTTGACCAATAAAGATTTTATGATAATCTGGGGCCTTAAGCCCGATGATCCATCTAAATTTGGTCCCAGATGATTACTCAGTCCCTTCTTCCGTTTCAACCAAATAAGGGATCTGCAACTGTTGTCCTTAAATGCCTGTGTGGGAACTTCATCAATATGGTGGCAACTTCATCAATAACAGGGATCCTGGTAAATTCAAAAGACGAAAGAAATTCCATTCATGAAGGTTGTGTAATAATAATCATATTTGAAAAACAGGAGAATGACCAACAGATAACTGATGAAGAAGAAATGGAGAACAGTGAAAAAACTTCATTGAGATGGTTATGAATCATATTTTTCATTTAGATTGCTCTGCTTTTTCTTTCATTTAGGTCTGCAAGCTCCTCATGGTGGCAACTTCATCAATAACAGGGAAGATGGTGCAGGACAAAGGACCCAAACACACTTGTGCAGAGGCAGTAACATCACTTCCAGTGGCTGCTTTGTGGTCTGCTCTTGGCTCTGTGCATATGCCAGTACTTTCCTATCTCCATAATACCAGAGCCTTGAAAAGAAGCATGCCAAGGCTATGTGATTTATACTTGCTGGAGGTAGCTCTCTCTTCCTGTAACCTTTAAAACTTGTTTTTTTCATTCTCTTTCTCCCCAGAATTAAATTTCCTCTTACTTGTTTATTTTGGGCATACTTTTTTATGTGCGTTTCTTACTGAGAAGGCTAATCTTCGCCTTGGTACAGGCATATTTGTGATTGTTTGCAAATGTTTTCAGCGTCAAAGATTTTTTCCTTTTCTGTTGCTGAAGTTTCCTTTAAGCAAGTCATTTGGCAAACTCCTCAGGTATGTCTTTATGCCTGTATTGCAGAACTCTGACATAAGATCTCACACCAAGATGGTCAGCCTCTAAGGAAACTTCTTTTCACAAGTTTTTTTTTTTCGGTCAAAATATTTCTTCTTTATTTTTTCGCTCTGCTGATTAGGCTTACAGTGATTTTATAATACTATATTTTCAGCTACATTTGTATAAAATAAATCTGCTTCTTTTAAATATAAATCTATATGTACACACACATACACAATCACACACATATATATGGAGGTATACATATATTTCTATATATATATCTTAAATAAGATAGAAGTTCAGAGGCACTTCTACATTCTCCCATGAAGATGTGTACTTGAATCCATCACAGGATCACATCTTCTCTCACAGTCTTCTTGCAAAGATCTACCAGACCATTTACCACTGTTCCTCTCCATTAGTCATGCTTAGTATGCCTTAATTTGTCCTTCAGCCTTCTCATAAAATCATCAGTGGAAATACAAGGAGAAACAAAAGCCTTCAGCTTGAATACCAGAATGCTGATTTTACTTGTTTTCTCACACACAATCTGAGGATGTCTCTGGAGTAATTAGTAAAAGAATAGCATTAATTCTGCTTCTTGCTGCTGAGGGTGCTTCATTAGGATTGATTGCTCATTTCTAAAGATTATAGAAGGCTCATATAATTACCAGTGGAGAACCAAGGCACTGAGCAATAAATATATTCCTGGACCACCAAAGTAAGAGTAAGCTTAAGAATAAGCTGAATGCTTTTATTTATAAAGGTAGAAATAAATGAGGCTTTTAGAGATGCCAGACAACTATCAATTAAGTTAGGGTCCAATGGCTAATTCTGAATATTTGATTCTTTTTCCTGACGATTGTGTGGATGCATATACAAGAGCTTGTGTATATGTACATCAAGAGTTTCTTTAGGACCAGATGAGAGGCCATTAAAGGTCATCCCAAAGGAAAACAAGTCACACTCCTGTTTCGTTCTCACCGGAAAGTCATCACTGCCAAACAGTTGATTTATGCTAGTAGCTTTAGACCAAGCTTTAGACTACTTCATAAAAAAAATAGGGATACAACAAAATACCAGGAAACACCCATCCTTTGATTTTTTTACTATCTCATATAAAAGAAAGGCTTGTGAATGAAGGCCACTAAATTCTAGAGGCTTATTTTCCTATTCTTTTCCTACTTTCATCTTTCTTAATTTCATCTCTGAACAGCTGCTTGTAATATGGAAAGAGAGCTTTGGGAGCTCATAGGAAGCTGCTGTCCCCACCTGAAGACAGTAATACCTTTGCTTGCCTCATCAGGCTGCAGAACTGCCCATTTACTTTGTAGTATCAGGCAGAAAAAAAAAACAACTGTTATGTGCTGTTACGTGTAGAGTTGGCAGACAAGAAAGCAAAGAGTTCCACATAAAATGAACAAAACTACACAGAACAAAAATCACTGGCCATCCAAATAGAAACATGAAAACACTATGTAGAAATATGAGAGAAAACCAGGACATACTCTTTCTTAATGAGCACTCTCCTGATTCTATACCCTAAGTAAAACAGGTATTAACCAACAGGAAAAGAAGTCCTTTGCTTCAGTGCCCCTGGTGACAAACTGGAGAGAGGAGACTCACTCGTCCTCCTGCCACAGATATTTAGAGCTTTGAATCCCAAAGAAGAACGTGGACACTTGTACGAAGTTGCAGGACAAGAACGTGGAGTCTGTATTATCTACATTTAGCTGTTGTAGAGTGAAACTGCAGCATTCCTCAGGGATGCCAAAATCCATGTCATGAGGGAAAGTAGAGCTGCCCAAAACCAGCAGGGTGATGGAGCATCCAGTGGATGGGGAACACCCTGAGAAGGGGTCGAAAGTGGCAGCAGGTTGGCAGGCAGTACAAGCAGGGAAGCAGAAAGGCAAGAAGCCATGAGACAGAACAGCCCGCACAAGGATCAGTAAAAAGAGAAACATGTGAGAAATGAGGTGTGTGCAAGGGTACCTATGGAAAAACAACAAATAGCAAAAAAAAAAAAAAAAAGAGCCAAATTATTTCCCTCAATACCTCCCTTCCTTCTTCTTATCAATACCTCCCTTCCTTCTTCTTATTAAATACTGTCGAAGATAACCCTAGTATTTTTCTAATGTTTCCTTTCCCTTCCAAGTACATCCTGCAATTTTTGCAGGGATGGTACATCTTAAAAAAAAAAAAAAAAAAAGGAGTGAGGAGTCTTAGGAAATGCAGTGGCAGTATCAGGGGAACCACTGAGAGGAGAAATGCCTTAAAGCTACTGTGCTGAGGGTATAGGCTGAAAATGCTTTGTGATCCCTGCCCTAGGCAAAACACACACACGTTGCCAATACACAAAATGACAAGTGCAAACAGCTTTACAGAAGAAGGATGCTGAGAGGCTTGCTAGAGGGGCAGATTTTTCCTATAAGGGAAATGGTGGTGCTGAGCATCAAGGAATATCTACTTACCAGTTAAGTGGCTGGCAATCCTGGCAATAGGTTTGGGAGGCAGGGCAGGGGGCTGTTTGAGGAGGGACAACTGTTTCACTGGGGTGTCCTCATGGTCTCCAGGGAAAGCAGTAGATTTTTTGGGGGGAAGAAGCAGGACTGGTTTAGCTGTAGGATCTTGGGACAGGAGGACTCCGGGTTCATTGGATGTGGGGCTCTCTTCAGACACTGGAGGACACAACCACATCATAGTCGCAACAACGTTACAAGCAAAGCGGCGGATACAGTAAGACATGAAAAGCAGCACAGCAATGCAGGTTAAAAATGACTAATAATCACTCAAACTTCATAAAACATACAAGGAAGGAGAAAAAGACAGAAAAAAGAGAGGGGGAAAGTAACACACATCTTCACAACAGACTGGATTTCCTATTAACTCTTGACAGAACCCAGCTCCTTAAGCCATGCAGAGATAAATTCCGACATGTTGAACACAAATGAAAAGCCTTAAAATGTCAAAACTCAGACTGCTTGTTACCACAGCTTGCTCGGGATCAGATATATTAGCAAATATATTGCCCTTCCACAACTGCAACACCCCCTTGTGGGGTCTAAACCACTTCCTAGAGGCTCCACAGTTGTGTGGCATTGTGGATGCCCATTCATTTGCTGTTTTTCCAAGCTCCTTTGCAAGGCTCAGCTTTAAGTGATGCATAATAGAATCATAAAATTGCAGAATGTTTGAGGTTGGAAGGGACCTCTAGAGGTCATCTAGTCCAACCCCCTCCTGCACACACAGGGACACCTAGAGCACGTGGCACAGGGTGGCATCCAGGCGGGTTTTGAAGATCTCCAGAGAAGGAGACTCCACAACCTCTCTGGGCAGCCTGTTCCAGGGCTCTGTCACTTTCACAGGAAAGAACTTCTTCCTCACATGGAGATGGAATTTCCTGTGTTTCAACTTGTACCCATTACCCCTTGTCCTGTCACTGGCTACCACAGAGAAGAGTTTGGCCCTGTCCTACCTACATTCACCTCTCAGATACTTAACAGATGCTAATTGAAATGATCAACATTACTGCTGAGAGCTGTGCCCTTGCATCTTGGTGCTGGCTGAAGGGGATGTGTAGGGAGCCTTGCCTAGGCTAGTACAGCTATCTGGCTTTTTTAGCTGCTGAAAGTTGTGTAGTGTGAATGTCACCTGTGGGGCAGGTAAAGGGCTTGGGTTTGTAGCCTGGCCTTTAAAATATTGTTAGCATCCTCTTTAGACCCCACTGGCAAAGCTAAGAAGTTACAGGATAGAATTCTGTTCTGAAATGTTCACAAAGTGCAGGGACTTTGCTTTATCCCCTGGGCCTTGGAGGTTATTCCTTTGCTGAGGCAGTCAAAATCTCTTGTGGAGTATCCAGTGGTAATTTGTATGCTGTTGTCTCCTCCATCAGAAGACCCTGGTCTTCAAAACGATTTTCTCAGAGATATAGACACCAAATGTTAGAGGTCAAAAACTTGTTTCAAATAGCATGAAGTATCTAAATTGTCATAAAAACAAGACATTACCTGTCCCATCCATGATCTCTGGGGTTGGGAGCACCTCATATGAGCAGGGTTCCACCGAAGCTGAACCTGATTCCAGTTCTGCTAGGGCTGGCAGGGACACCTGGCTGGAGCTCAGCACTTGCCCAGAGCCAAGAGGCTGCCCATTCTCCAAAGCTCCTTCTTCATTTGGTATGGAAAGTTCCCCATCTGTTCATATTTGGAGGAAAGCACAATGACAATAGAAGACATATAAACAAGATGTAGAAAGATTTTAATATGAAATATGCTGTTTTTCTTAGATTGCCTTTGATCCAGGAACCTGATCTGAGACACATACCGAAGATGCAGTGATAAGGATCAAAACTATGTGGTTTATATCTCACTGACAGAACTTATGCAGAATAACTTGTAGAGATGTCCAATTCTGACGTTTCGTCCACAACAGTATAAAGGAAGTATGACAGAGTTTCATTTATTTTAAAAGGGTTATCAAGACTTTGGAAAAGTTCTGTCAAAAGTCAGAATTAATCTTTGCTTTACCCTAGGATAGATATTATGATCCATCATGTAATTGAAAGATTCTTGATCTGCCTCCATCTCATAGGGCCACAAAACCTAATTGACCCCTGCCTTTGCTAAAACTGGGAGGTCAGGAATGAGAACAGGCAGGAACAGAAGTCATCGAACATCTGATTTATTCTTCTCCTTTACACCAATTTTTATGCTCTGCAACATGAGTAAAGTTACAGAGGAATATCCCTATTTTATACACCAGTAAAATCATTACAGCTCCCAGCATGATCTAGTATCTGGATAAAAATTTCTGCAACAGCAACTGTTAGGTTCTTTCTTATCAAACACTACTTCACATTAGAAATAGTCAAGAACAGAAGGCAGAGCTCATATCGTTCTCCATGGTGTCAAACTTCATAATTTTTATTTCAAAAATCATGCACAGCACTCTATTACCTGGGGGCAACGACTATGTGGATATCTCAACTACAATTTTATAAAACAAAGTGTTCAGTGCTTATGGTTGTGAATCATAGAATCGTAGAATCATAGAATGCCTAAGGTTGGAAGGGACCTCTAGAGGTCATCTAGTCCAATCCCCCTGCACACGCAGGGTCACCTAGGTCACCTGTCCGCACAGGACAGAGTCCAAGCGGGTTTTGACATCTCCAGAGAAGGAGACTCCACAACCTCTCTGGGCAGCCTGTTCCAGTGCTCTGTCATGCCTGAAAAATATAACTGGAATGTAATCTGCAAGGTTAAAAATCAGTAGGCAGAGAGCCTTATTATTCACTTTTTTTTTTAAAAAAGTCAAATTCAGGATTTGTGGATATAGTTCCTGATTTTTGGCTATCTGTAATCAGCCATGTTACTGCACAATATATAAAGCAGAGATATACATCATTCAAGTGAATGAATATTTCCTCTTATAGGGCTAAGAGCTACATAACACTTTGGAAAACAACACTGAAAAAAAACCCGTACATCTCACATAGGCCTCAGGACAAGGCAAATAACAAACTGGAGGTAGATTAGGTGCTAAATATTACATTTCTGCCTTTTAAAGCTCCTTTTCAATGATTCAAGATTATCTATTTAATTTGGAACTATCAGAAATATCAAGGTCTTGACCTTCTTGTTTTTGTTAGAGGGTTTTTGAAGAACTAGATAGCAGTTATGGTACACAGTTGTATGGTCAGAGACTGAAATGTGAACTGCAGCTTTCACAGCAATCAACTGAGCTGGCAAAAGATGGCAACATTAATCAAAGCCGAAGATTTCAGGCAATTGTTAACAGCACAGCCTCACTCTACCTGCTGTGGTCATTCGATGTTAACCTGTGTATTTCCCTAGATGGCAAAAATCGAACACCAGTTCAGACAATATTTGAGCTGAATGTCTTTGGGATAGCTCTTTCGGTGAAAAATCTATGTAACCCTGTGCTTTTTCTGTCCTCCTTTTATAAACATAGAATCATAGAATGCTTAAGGTTGGAAGGGACATCTAGTCCAACCCCCCTGCACACACAGGGTCACCTAGAGCACGTGGCACAGGACTGTGTCCAAGCGGGTTTTGAAGATCTCCAGAAAAGGAGACTCCACAACCTCTCCTGGCAACCTCTTCCAGTGCTCTGTCACCCTCACTGTTAATAAATTTTTCCTTAAGTTCCTGTGGAACTTTTGGTGCTTTAGTTTCTGGCAGTTTCCTCTAGTTCTATTGGTGGCCACCAGTGAAAAGAGGCCAGCACCATCCCCCTACTGCCTCCCTTGAAGTACTTATACACACTGATTAGATCCCCTCTCAGCCTTCTCTTCTTCAGGCTGAACAGGCCCAGCTCTTTCAGTCCTTCCTCATAGGGCAGATGTTCCAGGCCCCTGATCATCCTTGTGGCCCTGCGCTGGACTCTCTCCAGCAGCTCCACATCCCTCTTGTACTGTGGAGCCCAGAACTGGACACAATACTCCAGATGCGGCCTCACCAGGGCTGAGTAGAGGGGCAGGATCACCTCCCTCAACCTGCTGGAGATGCTCTTCTTAACACACTCCAAGATCCCATCGGCCTTCTTGGCCACAAGGACACAGTGTTGCCTCATGGTCAACCTGTCGTCCACCATGATGCTTAGGTCCCTCTCTGCAGAGCTGCTCTCCAGAAGGTCGGTCCTCAGCCTGTACTGGTGTCTGCGGTTATTCCTCCCTAAGTGCAGAACCTTGCACTCTGTTGAATTTAATAAGATTTCTCACTGCCCAGTCATCCAGTCTGTCCAGGTCCCTCTGGATGGCAGTGCAGCCCTCTGGGGTACCAGCTACTCCTCCCAGTTTGGTATCATCCGCAAACTTGCCAAGGGAGCACTCTGTGCCTTCATCCAGGTCATTGATGAACAAATTGAACAGGACTGGACCAAGGACTGACCCCTGGGGGACACCACTAGCTACAGGCCTCCAACTAGACTCTGCGCTACTGATCACCACCCTCTGAGCTCTGCCATCCAGCCAATTCCTAATTCACCTCACTGTCCACTCACCTATCCCACACTTCCAGAGCTTGTGCAGGAGGATGCTGTGAGGGACGGTGTCAAAAATCTTGGTGAAGTCGAGATAGACGACATCCACTGCTCTCCCCTCATCTATCCAGCTGGTCATTCCATCATAGAAGGCTATCAGGTTAGTCAAGTATGATTTCCCCTTGGTGAATCCATGCTGATTCATACACCTTTACATTCACCTTTACCTTGTTTGAGGATAGAGGCGATCGTTGTCTCAATTACTTGGTGTCAGAAAAGAGCATAACTGTTTCTTACAATTGCCTCACATGAAAGCTGCCTTATCCAGTAATTCCATGCAGGACTAAATCTGACCATAACTGTGAGCAAACAAGAAGCATTCACGATAGAACCAGTAATATTGATTTGTTTGAGGAATATTTTTAATGAAGGGACATTTTTAATGAAGATGCTGAGCACCTTCAAATCTTACTATCTTAAATGGCCTTTCACTTCTCAAGATATATTCAGCCTGTCTTAAGAAGACATTATTCATATACTCTGTTGAAAGTGTGTTATTGCAAAGAAGTGAAATATGAGATTAAAATCTGTATTTTACAGAATCACAGAATGCTTAAGATTGGAAGGGACCTCTGGACATCATCTAGTCCAACACCCCTGCTCTGGCAGGGACACCTAGAGCACATGGCACAGGATGGCATCCAGGCAGGTTTTGAAGATGTCCAGAAAAGGAGACTCCACAGCCTCTCTGGGCAGCCTGTTCCAGGGCTCTGTCACTCTCACAGGAAAGAAGTTCTTCCTCACTTGGACGTGGAACTTCCTGTTTCAACTTACACCCATTACCCCTCATCCTGTCAGGAGTCACCACGGAGAAGAGACTGGCCCCATCCTCCCTACAATCACCCCTCAGGGACTTGAACGTGTTAATCAAATCTCCTTTCAGCCTTCTCCTCTCCAGACTAAACAGGCCCAGCTCACTCAGTCTTTCCTCATAAGATAGATGTTCCAGTCCCTTAATCATCTTTGCTGCTCTACGCTGGACCCTCTCTAGAAGCTCAATGTCCTTCTTGTCCTGGGGAGCCTGGAACTGCACACAATACTCCAGATGCAGTTGCACCAGAGCTGAGTAGAGGGGGAGGATCACCTCCTTTGACCTGCTGGCAACACCTTCTGATGCAGCCAGGATCCCATTGGCCTTCTTGGCCACAAGGGCACATTGCTTCCTCATAGCTAACTTCTTGTCAGCCAGGACTCCCAAATAGCTCTCTGCGGAGCTGCTTTCCAGCAGGTCAACCCCTAGTCTGTACTGCTGTCCGGGATTATTCCTCCCCAGGTGCAGGACCCCGCACTTGTTCTTGTTGAACTTCATAAGGTTCCTCTCTGCCCAACTCTCCATCCTGTCTAGGTTTCTATGAATGGCAGCACAGCCCTCTGGAGTGTCAGCCACTCCTTCCAGTTTGGTGTCATCTGCAAACTTGCTGAGGGTGCACTCTGTGCCCTCGTCCAAGTCATTGATGAACAAGTCGAAGAGCACCAGGCCCAGTACTGACCCCTGTGGGACAACACTGGCCACAGGCCTCCAACCAGACGCGGCCCCATTTATCACCACCACTCTGCCATCCAGCCAGTCCTCAATCCACTTCACTGTCCACTCATCCAGTCCACACTTCCTAAACTTTCCTATGAGGATGTTATGGGAGACTGTGTCAAAAGCTTTGCTGAAGTCAAGGTAGACAACATCCACGGCCCTCCCATCATCCATCCAGCCAGTCACTTCATCGCAAAAGGCTATCAGGTTCATCAGACATGACTTCCCCTTGGTAAATCCATACTGACTACTCCCGATCACCTTCTTTTCCTTCACATACCTAAAGATGGTCTCTAGGACAAAGCCACTTCATCACCTTTCCAGAGATGGAGGTGAGGCTGACCAGCCTGTAGTTTCCCGACTCCTCCCTCTTGCCTTTTTTGAATACTGGAGTGACGCTGTTTTCTTCTAGTCCTCCAGCACCTCCCCTACTCTCCATGACCTCTCAAAGATCTTGGAGAGTGGCTGAGCAATGACCCCTGCCAGTTCCCTCAGTATTCTTGGGTGCATCCCATCCAGGCCCATAGATTTATGGGTGTCCAGTTTGCCTAAATAATCCGCAATCCAGTCCTCCTTGACCAGCAGAAAGTTCTTGGTTCTCTCTCT